TGCAGGTGGGCGGTCTGTATCGTGCCTGGTAACGACCACGCGGCTCGACATCGTTAGCCAGTCATAAACATTAGCGCCAATGTCAAGTGCCAGTCGTGCAGTGATACAAGCCGCCCACCACAGTGCGCGCATTGGCGATGATCGTGTAGCTGTCACAGGCTTCTTGAACGGAGTACTTCATGCGTTCACAAGCTTCATCACGGCTAGTAGCTTCATAGGCAATTTCTCGACTCTACAACGGATCCGTAACACATGGGCTCTTTACCAGGCGACGTCTGCGAGTTCTGCAACAGATGGTTCCCCAACGCCCAAGTTTATGGCGGTCATAAGTCACGGCGGACCCCTTGCCAAGGACTATCCGCCGTGGCAAGGCCGACGCGATCTGCACCGACCGCCGGTCTTCACGCTCTGCTATTCGTCCACGACATTCTGTCGGACGCTCCAGCCGCTCCCGGTTCACCTACAGCGTCTAACGCATCCAACGCCGTCAGTGTGAGCGGTCCTCCACGCGTGCCTGAAGCTCACGTTGACGAAACTCCCAACGACGTGAACGAGGGGCCTCCTGAAGATGAACATCAACCACAACCAGGAGCTCCTGCGGCTGACACGAGTGACCATCCTGAGAGCCGGCCCGAAGGGAGTCATGCCGCGCCGCCAACAATCATCTCCGGACAGAGCAATGCCACGCCCCTCAATCCGCTCGCGTTGAAGCTGCTGCATTTTGTTCGGTGCGTGAATGGCGGAATGGGAATGGCCGAGGTTGACATCAACGGCCTGCTTCAGCTAGTCGTAGAGCCCGGCCTTGCGCCTCTTGTGATCTCGGAGCTCCGGAACTGTAAGGATCTGGAGCGGTTCGAGATGGAGCGTTTGGCAGGGCTCAATCGCGGATGGTCGGTGGCGACCTTCGAGATTGACGGTCATCCACCACAGCGCTTGCTCTTTCAGAACTCAGCCCAGGTAAGCCGACTTTGCATTCAAGGCCGTGAAATGATGATGAGGCACACAGGGTTTGCATGTACGTAGTCATCCTTGTATTAACCGTACACCCACCTTCACCGCCACTAACCATGCCTCTCCTCTCACCTGCCTTCGCCACCGTACACCAGGCATTCGCTGAAATGTTTGGACATCCCAACAACGCGCCCGGCTTCAAGCTCAAGGCGCGTGTTGATGAGGACCCTGACGCAGGCGGCCGTCGCTATACCACGCCTGAAACAGGAACGTGGTGGAACGATGCTCAGGTAAGGAAAGACCACGTTGCCACCCCAAACCCAATCCTTCCTCATGCCTCCATCGCTGCACTGATCTGTCAAGAGCATCTTGAGCCCTAAACCGTGTGTCCGTTGCCGCTTTGTCGTGCACTTCAGGAACACTTCGGTTGGTCCGAAGTTGTGGGGGGGATCATCTTATATTCGGATGTGACGCACATGAGCATCAACGGCCGGAAGAAGGCGTGGCCGCTCATGATGACGCTGGCCAACATCTCCCAGGCCAAGCGATGGGGGAAAGCCGGGCACACACTACTTGCCCTCCTTCCTATCCCCCCGTCTGCAATGTCTGCCGTGGAGAAGGTGATGCTCTTCCAGCGTTGCGTCATCACCGTGCTGCAGCCGCTTCTTGATGGCATCGCCAGGTCCGTACTCGGTTTGCATCTTGCTAAGACATCATCTCACCACCTGCATGGTATGCAAACCCTCTCTGTATGTAGCATGGCCCTTTGCCCCTCGTCGTTCCTCCCTAAAAGCCGTAACCCGAATTCCTGTTGCCCCTCTACCTGTTCTTTGCAGCGGGTTCCGTCTCAGGGACCCTTTCGGTGATTGGCAAACCGTGCGGCCCCTGCTGTACGCCTGGGTGTGCGACTACCCCGAGAGCGGCAAGATCAGTTGCACACTCTCGCATGGATCGCGGATGCCGTGCAGCATCTGCTATGCTGCAAAGGTGAGGTCACATGCCATCTGCACGCATTCAAATACATTCTCGTTTATGGGTCGCCTGATAGAACCCACATAGCTACCACCCTTACCTTTTCTATCCCATCCCTCACCCCCGTGCTACAACAGGAGCATCTGAGTGATGTCAAGGCACGGAACACGCCACGCACGCCTGAACAGCAGCAATGGATCGTTAACGAGGCGGCTGGGACGACAACTAGCCAGGCTGACCCGTGCAAGGCCTACTCTACCTACCCTGTTGAGGTGAGTGACCTGTTTCCCCGGCCCATGAGTAGTCTATGCTCTCGCCCGCCCCGTCATGAATTGCCAGATGTGCTCTGCCCCATTGAACTCACCCCACTTGTGGTTTAGGTTAGCTATCCACTCTCACGTACATCTCTCCTCCATTCCCCACCACATCCCCATTTCCAGTGCGTGCTCTGGAAGTGGGATGTCCCAGGGACCGCGTGGGGCAATCCCTACCTCGTGGTGATGCCTGACATCATGCACCAGGCGGACCTGGGCATCATGAGCCACATTGTGGCTGTCGTGCGCAAGATGAAGAAGCGGCGTGTGAAGCAGATAGACAGGTCAGTGTTTTGGGGATTGGATTCGTTGCTCTTCGTCACATTTACTCAAACCCTTCCGACATGTCCTATTACTGACATGTTTCTGCCCCTTTGCCACCGCTGAACTGATGTGTATGGGCAAACGCATGTCTCTCATTTGCGACCGCACGCGCCTGAATCACATGCGCCTGCCGGAGAGCGCCTACTTCGAGACCGGAGCATGTGTGGCTGCCTATGAGCACAGGGCCGTCATGCAGGTATGAACCCTCCATTCCCTGTTGCTTGTCCTGGCCTAAACCCTCAAGCAGTCTGCTCATGCTGCCATTGTTTGTCCCAACTCCTCACACCATCTGTGCTCACCCTCCCCTTTGCTGCTATCCACATTCTTTGCAGGTCATGGTGTTTGTTTTTGCAGGCCTGCTTCGCCAGCCCCAGATGGATGCCGTTCGTGCCTATCTTGGCTGGTACATCCTGTGCTCCCAGCCTCAGGGGCACACTGAGCGGTCCCTCTGGGAGCTGAAGAAGATGACCTCTCGGTAATAATACCACGCATGTAAACCCCCGTGCATGGGATGAATGCTTGGCTACTGTAAATGTGCTCTTGTAGTAGGCAATCTTGTGAGAATTTTTGGTGCTAAACTTTGATAGGAAAGGATCAGGAATAGGAAAACCATATGAATAATTAGACTCTGTGATTGCATGTGTTGTCATCTCCCACTCCCATCAGGCTCGTTGAGCAGTTGCAGGCTGCGTTTCCAAAGCAGCCATCCTCTTGGTGCCTTGTGAAAACACATCTCATGTCGCACTACGTTGACTCCATACGTCGCGCGGGTCATGTGACTGAATTCAGCACCAACATGTTCGAGCACTTGCACGGACCGTTGGTAAAGAGGATCTACCGTCGGTCCAACAAGCGCAATGTAGATGGGCAGATCATGAAGTTCCATGCTAGGCGCATTCCGGATGTGGTGCCGGTGGATGATCCTGCTGGCCGGGACACCGCCATGCGGCAGGTAAATCTGTTTAGTGCTTGAATTGCATGGATATGAATGCAGAATGTAATAATATCAATAGCATATGTTGGCAGGCGATTGAGACCGACACACGGACGCTCATCAAGGAGTCATACTTCCTCCCTGTGGAGTTACCACAAGAACCCACCTCCACCAACTGGTTTGCAAGGAAGTGGGCCAAGCAACACCCTCGTGCCCAAGCTGCCCTCAAGGATGCGCTTATGCGTTATGCAGGATGCGTCACCAAGATTCGAGTAAGTAGTTGCAAGTTTATGCAATCAACCATCATTTGGCTGGCTCGTATCATACATGACTAACATCAACTGTTATGCAGGCCCATGCATCGCTGGCAATCCCTGCAGCAGACGACGCCAGCTTCTCAAGAGTTTCTCACTTCGTTCGAGCGACCCCTGACTATTTTGAGAGGCCATGGTACTCGGATGTTGCAGTGGAGGGTGTAAGGTATGGTCGGAGAGAGGAGTGGTATGCAAGGTTGCTTCTGTTGTTCCATACAAAAATACGTGGAGAGAGGGAGGAGCTGGCTTACGTTAGATATTGGAATGCAAGCGGAGAGGATACAGCAACAGGATGCCTTCGCCTCAAGTGGTCGACAGGAATGTACGCGTACTCCGTGATTCCGATTGAAGCGCTGCTCCGCCACGTCCATGTGGTGAAGGCATTCCACCTGGACAGTACCTATCTCCTTAATAAGTATCAAATGTGATGCATTTATCTTGTAATAAAATGGCCAGCATATTTTCAAGCAGACACATTTTAGGGAAGTCAAAGCCTAAAAAACCAATTACAAAATCACAACAAATTTGGCACGCTTCAAATAAACGGCAATGTACCGGAGTCGCGAATTCGATCTAGACTTCGACAAACAAACGCGGTCCGATTTCATTCCGTGATTGGTCGCGATTTGGCTTTGGAACTTCGCCAACCAAAACACCTGAACTGTACCCCCCTTCGAACCCCCTTCAAAAACCAAGGTTTTTTGTGATGTGAATAAGCGCGAGATATACGCGGAAACAATTCTCGAGTGCTGGTCGTTCCGTTGCAAGCGACGGACCTGTGGGCGTTAGATGGCTCGGACTGTGCGACATGCTAACGAAGCGGTTATCGCAACAGCGACGAAAAACAAACACAAGGAAGACGAAAACAAGATTCGACGTTTACGTCGGAAGGGTTACGTAGATTTGTATCCCTTGTATTAGAAACATTATGATAGAGTACATACTTTGCTTATAGAAGCAATTCATAAGTTCTTCATTTTTCCTTAAAACAGGTCAGGCTGGATAGTTCCCTATTATGAAGCGAAATGTTCTATAGATGTTTCTTCCCTCAAAGCTGCTAATTAATTGTGGAACAATTTGGACACTTATGCTCTTTTTGTGTTTTTTTATAAACATGAATTGTTTTCACCAACAACTTAACTCCATTGTTCTCTCAGGTTATTATAGTGGGTTGGCGCTTGGCATCGCTGAATGCGCTCGTCCTGCGCTAGCATAAATTTTCTCGCTCTGCTGGCAGAATTTTTTTCGTTCTGCGCTGGCAGAAATTTTCTCGTTCTGCGCTGGCATCCGTCTCTTTCACAGCTCGAATTCGGCGCTGTCGTTTCTTGGTTCTTGTTCTTGAATCTTCTCGACAAGAACCTGCTCTGCTCCTACTCCTTTTCCTCCCCTCCCCCCCACCCCTTCTCGCCATTTCTTCTCCCACCCAGCCGTCGCTCTCGCTCCCATCCAGCCGTATCCACTCCCTCACTACCCGTTGACACCTCTCCAACCCACCTCACAATCACTCCGTCCCATCCACCCCGCCATCTCCTCTCCCTTACCTCCCCGCCGTCGCCTCCTCCTCCTCGCCGTCGCATCCCTCCTCCCCGCCGTTGCCTCACCTCCTCCCCGCCGTCGCCTCTCCCTCCTCCCCGCCGTCGCCTCTCCCTCCTCCCCGCCGTCGCCTCCCTCCTCCCCGCCGTCGCCTCTCCTCCTCCCCGCCGTCGCATCTCCTCCTCCCCGCCGTCGCCTCTCCCTTCCCCGCCTTCGCCTCTCCTCCTCCCCGTCGTCGCCTCTCCCTCCTCCCCGCGGTCGCCTCTCCCTCCTCCCCGCCGTCGCCTCTCGTTCCTCCCCGCGATTGCCTCTCCCCACTCCCCGCGGTCGCCTCTCCCCACTCCCCGCTGTCGCCTCTCCTTCCCTCTCCGCCGTCTCCTCCGGCGACAGGTGCACGAGCGCAAGCGCGGATTGGTGCGCGAGCGCGGGTTGTTTTCTCAGGCACCGTGGTTATCAGGTGCATTCCCGGTCCTTCCGTCCTCCCTCCCCCCTTCTGAAATTTCCGTCCTGTTTTGATTTATTTTGTTTTTTTTCCTCTCCAATGTGTCGATTGGTCTCCACTTGCATTGCACTTTCATTTGAAGAAGAAAGAGATGGAGCGCGAAGGAGAGTGTGTGCGCATGAGAGAGCGTGTGAGAGAGCGCATGAGGGAGCGCGTGAGAGAGCGCGTGAGGGAGCGCGTGAGAGGGCGCATGAGGGAGCGCGTATGAGTGCGCGTAAGAGCGCGAGAGAGTGAATGCGTGTGATAGTGCGCGAGAGAGCGCGTGAGAGAGAGAACGTGGTGAGAATGCGCGAGAGAGAGCGCGAGAGAGAGTGCGTGAGGGTGTGCCTGAGAGTGCGCCTTGAGAGAGCGCATGAGAGAGTGCGCGAGAGAGTGCGTGAAAGAGCGCGAGAGGGCGCGTTAGAGCGCATGAGAGCGTGTGAGAGAGCGCGTGAGAGAGCGCGAGAGAGCGCGTGAGAGCGCGTGAGAGAGCGCGTGAGAGAGCGCGAGAGAGCGCGTGAGAGTGCGTGAGAGAGCACATGAGAGAGTGCGTGAAAGTGCGCGTGAGAGTGAGCATGAGAGAGCGCATGAGAGAGCGCGTGCGAGTGCGCGTGAGAGCGCGAGAGAGATAATGCGTGTGATAGTCCGTGAGAGAGAGAATGTGGTGAGAGTGCGCGAGAGCGAGCGCGAAAGAGAGTGCGTGAGAGTGTGCCTGAGAGTGCGCGAGGGAGCACGTGAGGGAGCGTGAGAGAGCGCGTGAGAGTGCGCATGAGAGATCGGGTGAGAGAGCGCGTGTGAGAGCGCATGAGAGAGCGCGTGAGAGAGCGTGTGAGGGTGCGCGTGAGAGAGCGTTTGAGAGAGAGAATGTGCATGAGAGTGAGCGAGAGAAAGGACGTAAGAGAGAATGCGCATGAGCGTGCGGAAAAAAGAGCGCGAGAGAGAGCACCTGAGAGTGCCCCTAAGAGTGCGCCTGGATAGAGCACATGAGAGAGAGCGTGAGAGAGTGCGTGAGAGAGCGCATGAGAGAGCGTGAGAGAGCGAGTGAGGGTGCGCGTGAGAGAGCGTGTGAGAGAGCGCGCGAGAGAGCATGCCAAAGAGCGCGCAAGAGAGCGCATGAGAGTGCGAGTGAGAGTGCGAGTGAGAGAGCGCGTAAGGGAGTGCGTGAGAGAGCGTATGAGAGAGCGCGTGAGAGAGCGCATGAGCACGCTAGGACGTAAGCTCTAGCTCATCGGCGCCTCGCAGTGCACTCGTGCACTGCAGTGCACTGGCGCCTTTCTGCTATGCGTTGACGCCTTCTGCAATGCATGTGAGGGAGGGTGATTTGTACTTCTTGCTTGGCCACCTGTAAGAGCACGTGTGTTGCGGTATCCTATTTTTGCTTTCTTGTACACAGTGTATGAACATGCACTGATTTTTGTGCAAGGTGTGTTTTGCTTTCTTTGTTCTTGCTTTATTGTGCAGGGCGTGTATGTGTTGACTTCCCTGTTTTAACTTTGTGCAAGGCGTGTGTGTGTTGACTTTCCTGTTTTTGCCTGGGCGTGTGTGTGTTGACTTCACTGATTTTGCTTTGTGCAGGGCGCGTGCGTGAGCTGAGAAGGAAGATGAGGGAGTGGGATGGAGATGAGGGAGTAGGATGGAGATGAGGGAAGGAGGGAGGGAGGGTTGTAGGGAGGGTAAGGTGGGATAGGTTAGCCATTGTTTATTCTGAATTTTATTTATGACGGTTGTGTGTTTATTACGGTATCTGTATCTCTCTCTGCTTGTTTGCGTGTGTGTGTGCATGTCTGTTCGTTGTGTTTGTTTCACTGTGGGGTTGCTCTTCGATCCGTTCACAACCTTTACGTGGTGTTGGACATTTTTAACGTGCGTTTGCATTCGTGTTTGTGGGATGTGTGTTTCAAAGTGTGGTATTATTGTGTGTCATGTATGCAATTAGAGGTTGTTAATCGTCTTTGGGGCAGCGGGTGTCTGTCAGAATGTTATATTTCTCTAGTCTGCAGTGGGGTACTCTTTAGTGAGTACAGCCTTGTTAGGGTTTGCTATATGTATCCCATTGTTTGCTAGTGAAACCCCCTCTTCTGCTGTTAATTCCTATTCGTTATTCTGACATGCTATCCGAGCGAGATCGCTCCTGGCCTGTGGGCCCACCTGCTTCTGCTGCTGTACTACCTGTCGCGCGCCTCGGGCGCGTGACGTCTTCTGCCTGCCGCGCGCCCTGCGCGCGGGGCGTTTTTTTCTTCCCGCTGCACGCTAGGGGCGCGCGGCGGTTTTCTGCCCGCCACGCGCTCGGGGCGTGTGGCGGTTTCCTGCCCGCCGCGCGCCCCGGGCGCGCGCGGCGGTTTCGTCGCCCGACGCGGCGCCCCGGGGGCCCGCGCGCTGTCCCCTCCCGTCGCCCGCCGCGGCGTCCCGGGGGCCCGCGTGCCGCCTCCCCTCCCGTCGCCCGTTGAAGCGCCCCGGGGGCCTGCGCGCCGCTCTGCCCGTCGCCCGCCGCGACGCCCTGGGGGCCCACGCGTCGCCGCCCCCCCTCCCGTCGCCCGTCGAAGCGCCCCGGGGGCCCGCGTGCCGCCCTGCCCGTCGCCCGCCGCGGCGCCCTGGGGGCCCGCGCCCCCCCCCCCCCCCCCCCCCCCCCCCTCTCCCGTCGCCCGTCGCGTCGCCCTGGGGGCATGCGCGCCGCCCTGCCCGTCGCCCGTCGCAGCGCCCCAGTTACCCGCGCGCCGCCTGCGTTTGGGGTATGGGGTGGCGGGTATGGGGGTGGCGGGTGTGTGCGCCCTCCCCTGCTCCTCCTCCTCCTCCGTCTCCCACTGCTGCAGCTGCCGCTAAGGGGGGTGGGTGTGTGGGAGCCGAGGGAGTGGCGCTAGGGGGGTGTCGTGAGAGTGGAGCTAGGGGTGCAGCAGGGGGTGTGTGAAAGGGGTCTGCGACAGTGGGGGAGGTTGAGCGGAGGTAGCCTTCGTGTCGCCAGCAGCACCAGTAGTCCGGAGCTGCCGTGCTCCGGTAGCCCAGCGAGCCTGCTGCGCCAGTCGCCCGTGGGTCCGTTGCTCCTGCCGCTCATCTTAGCTGCGGAGCCAGTTACTCCTGTAGTCCGGGGCCCTTGCTCTATTAGCCACAGTGTGCGCGCTCCTGTTGCCCGTGTGTCTGCGGCTTCACCCATCGCCTCCTATCTCCACTCCTCGCACACTCCCTCCTCCTCCTCACTTGCCCTCTGTGACTGCCTCTAGCTTTGCTTGTGCTCGTGAGCTTGCTCTATGACTGCTTGTTGTGCTGATTATACCCCACTTTGACTATGGGGGTGTGTCAGAATGTTATATTTCTCTAGTCTGCAGTGGGGTACTCTATAGTGAATACATCCCTGTTAGGGTTTGCTATATGTATCCCATTGTTTACTAGTGAAACCCCCTCTTTTGCTGTTCATTCCTGTTTGTTATTCTGACAGTTTCCGCTGTTTCAACGACCCCATCAACCTCTGTTGCTGCATGATGCATTTTAACATTCATTTTGAAGCATCCATTCCACCTCATACCTTGTTGTTCCTTCGTTCATGTTGATGCCAGAATATTATGCTCGGCCGTACGATCCGCCGTACTTATCGACGAGGTTGGGACGGTCGAGCAAGCTAATGGTTTGAACATGATACGTACGTGCGTTCCGGTATTTGGTTTTACGTATGGGGATCTCATTCAAGGGTGTTTTTATCCATTATTTGAGGCATCCGTTTGAACACAGTTTCAAAACATTCAAACGGGTGCTCCAAAAAGTGCGTAAACACACTCTTCAAATGATATCCCCAAAATGTCAAACCAAATATTAAGGGTTGCTACGCAACCCAAAAAAACAAATGCCTCCAATTTCCGAGGCAGAATGGCGGAAACTGCACCGTCGATAGCGCTATGCAAATCACCCTGTACTAAAAAATGAACTGAACGAAACTGTCATTGAGGGTGCATTCCTACCTTGTGTCTGACATCAGGTCATCCGCCCTTGGAAGCTGGGAAGACCCGAAGTGGCTCGAGATAGGGGCAAATCAACATTGGGAAGAGACAAATCAAAGACTAAGGGCGGATGACCTGATGTCAGACACGAGTTAGGAATGCACCCTGTGTCATGATGGTGGGGGTGGAGAAAGGGCGCGATTTGAGTGTGATTTGAGTGAAACCAGGTCGGGATCGATGATCTCAGGAGCTAGACCCGAGAAAAATAATTGTTGAGAGGCGAGAAACTACGACCTTCAACTATTTAGCCGACGTTTACAGGGCACTTTGGAGTTCTTAATTAAACAACTGCACTTACGTATTGTTCAGAGTCGCTTGGAGTCACAGCGGAGGCAGTGGCTGGATGTCATTTGTGATCCACACAACTAGGGCTGTCAGCAAACTGAATGAAGGGTTCCCGAATGAAACACAATCATAAACCAACACCCTTATGTAAGCGCAAGGATCAAATGTGGGGAATGGAGGGTTGTTTTGTGATACTTTGCACCACTTCATGAAAACCGTATGTATCTGTCAACATAAAACAAAACTACTCACGAGAACCTCCGTAACGAGTCCAGGTTCGAAATCTTGAACTCCAATCTGGCAATGTCTCTTCGATAATCTCCCATCCGGCAACCATACCCGAATTCATGGAGCATTTGGCTCCTCGTTTGGTTGCTGCCGTACCACGACCCTAGACAACTCCTTGGGCGATGATACGCCGCGTGTTTCCCAGGCTCGGTTGTTTGCCGGGCATTGCCAAACCTGGAGTAAGTTTCTGCGCTCGTAGAAAATGAAGCTCTCAAGGTGTGCGCTGCGTTCACCTCGCCACGAGCCGCCGGATCTCTCACAAGGAGGCTCGGTATCCTTCTGAGGCAGAAACTTTGAGCTCAAAGAGGGCAGCGGAACGCAAAAAAAACTCGTCGCTCTTGTCCGACTTCCCCGTGTGAGAGTCGATTAGCCAACCAATTCGTTTCAAAGAATGCCCTAGTTGATATTTTGACCCGCGCAGCATGCCAGCACCGAGCTCAGGAATTCCCGGACCCTGCCGGTTCGGCAGCACTCGTTCCTCCCATTTCGTCCCCCTTGGCTGCTCCTCCCCACAACTCGCTCTTCTTTGCCTCTCGCCTCATCTTCAAATTCGCATACCACAACCTAGGCATATTCAGAGCATACTCTTCAGAATTCCAGCACCCTTAAGCATACCCTCGTTATTGTTACCAATATTCTCTACCGTTAAGCTCCGCTTTCAAGGCCTGTA